ATAAAATAAATTCTAAGCAGAAGCATATTATTATTATTATTGTTAATATTATTGTTATATATTCTGTATATTATTATTTCTAAACATTAGCCATTGGCTATTACAGTAAAGTTTGACAGACCAGCTCTGTGCATTAATACAAACATCCTAACTTGAAGAAGTCATGGACATCCACACCATAACACACCAGCAGTGATGTAATAAGTTTAAATTATTGAGGGAAATGCAATTTGTTGGTATAGGAATCCAACTGATGTCCACAATAAATATCCTGTAAAGAGCAGTGACAGGCTGACATTTTCACATGGTGTCACCATCTCATTTCATACCAAAAAAAAACAAAAAAAAAAACAATGTAGAAATGTGTGTCAGTTAGAGTGCCCACATTTAATCATTAGTGAGACAGGTGAGTGGAGAAGCGTCTCTACCCTGACCTTCTCTATCATGGCCTTATGCTCTGCAGTGTCATTATTGCACTTCTGGGCAGAGGAGTGGGATAGGCTGCACCATAACAACGACTGGGAGACACAGAAGGGGAGTGGGGTGGTACAGGGGGAGGACAGGAAGGTAGGTGTGTGCGTGTGTGTGTGTGTGGTTGTCTGTCTCTGCGGAGGCTGCTGCCTGCTGACCTGGTCATCCATCAGACAGCCCCCTCACCACTAACCAACCATTAGACACACACACAAATACACACACACACACACGTCCATTCCTCCTCTTCTCATCAGTGCAGCTCTCTGCCAGGACTGGAATCTCCACATTAATTTCTCATCTGTGGCGTCCTAATGAGCTCCGCCTGCTCGTCCACCTCTGAGACCCTCCTGATTATCAGACAGGGAGCAACCATTTGTCAAAGGCAAGAGGTAGCATTGACACTGCTGACCTTGCTGGTAAAGAAAAAAACGAATATCAAAGAGGGGAGAAAGGATAAGAGAGAGCAGAGAAAAAGCTAACGAAAGCAATCAACATTCCCCCGTGCCGTGGTGTTTTTTCTGGTGGGCAGTAGATGTGTGTATAAGCCTCAAAGGGAGCAGGGACTTGCCAGTTATTAGCTAGGGCAAAGCTGTGTAGGTCTGCGACACCGGCTAACCTTAGCCAGGAGTGCTGAGACTTTGGGGGTATCTATCACAGTGGCAGCCCCAAGACCCTAGTGGGGGGAAAGCCACAGTAGTTGCCAGGGGAGGGAAAAAACCTAGTAAAAATTTAATGCACTCCGCAGAGCGGTCATGTCATACTTGGTTATGGAAAATAATCCCAGATGCCTGCAGTGCTAAAATAGAGCTGTAATGTGCTCGCCTCCTAACCCGGCCTGACAGCCATGATGTACGACTACCATTACCGGAAAATATCACTTCAACTAACCCGTGATCCGGCTCCGCTAAGGGTCATATTATCCATGAGGAACAAATTACACTCCCCCAAAGTAAATACAAATTTCCTACACTGACTAGGTACAAAGCACAGGAAGGGGGGAAGGGGTAGGCGGAAATGTTACCTATGACAACGCTCAGCCGAGTGACAATGATGATAAAGTACATGACAAATCACTGGCTGACAGGGTGCTCTAGTGCAATCAGCCTCAGCTCCGGCCTGGCGAGCACCCACTCAAGCCTGTAAACACTACTCTCTTCCTTTGGAGGGGGGAAAACACATAATCTTTTAACACTGACAAGTTGCTCTCTCCTTTTTATTACTCATCCTTCCCACTGCGGTGGGAGGTGGAGGGGTTGGGGGGGATATAAAATGGTTTTATGTACAGTGCTGCCAAGTGATTGAGAAACACGACTCTTCCGCTGTAATTGCCCGAGGGCCGACACAGCAAAACAATAAATGAAGAGAAACAGCAAATATATTAGCAGGTTAGATCTTTATTTTATATCAAGGACAAACAGGTTCTCTCAGCTCCTTTAGAGCATCCACTCAGATCCCCTGCCTCCAATAAGAGCAAAGCGCTGCAAATTACAGCACGCGCTCGCACGGCCATTAATAAGACCCAAAGCATTTTTTAAAATGGCATTTACAGCTAGTGGCTGCTGATAACGCAAGTAAATAACATTTAGGAAAGTTGTGGTCTCTATAAAGGCGGCCTAGAGGAATGGAAATAGGAATAAAAAGCTGCAGAGCGAAAAAGACTTGTGCAAAAGGCTGAGGTAACGTGATTGGAGGACATTTTAGCAGGAGAGAGCACTCACTGATGTTCATACTAAAACATTTAAATGGCAGTTTCAAGGTGCCACTTACTACTAAAAATCACTTGAGCTCAATTCAGGCAGTAAAAAAAATGTACGAGAGCTCTTGACAACATCACAAAGACAGTAGAAAATCGCAGATACTATTTTTTAATTAAAATATTCAAACATCTACATTTGGCAACTATACCTATATAAATATATATACATATATAAAAAATAATAATGATATTGTCAGAAATTCTGCACATGAAAAAACTGATGAGTTAACGCAACGATGTGTTAACTCTCCCAACCCTATTAGCAAACATAAACTCACAAAACACAAAAGCTGCTTGTATTAACTCGGAGACCGCATGTTAATGTAGTTCAGACTAATTAGAAAGAAAAACCATTATGATTCTTTCCCCAAGATATCGGAGTTGGTGCAAAGTTCTTACATAAAAATGAACCCATGGTATTTCAATTGCCCTTCTCATTATCTGAGTTCTGCATTGACTGCATGACAGGCCACCTGTCAGTGAAAAGGTTATGGAGGCATCGCTAGAGATGCTAAAGATAACACAAATACCCCTAATGATGCCAGCATTGTGTGAGGAGTGAATACATTGTGTAGGCCACCAACCTGTCTCCAAGCATGCCATCTCCATGATTGTAATGGTGAAGATGGCCAATCCTACTGGACACTTAGTAATGAGCAAACGCTCTGACAATTCCTAACACATGCTGACACCCGCTTGCTTAGAAACACGCGAGCTGGATTGTTTGCACACATTCGCTGAGATGCGAATAGCCCTCTCTTATCTGAGCCTGGCAGCTCCCGCCTACACGGCTGAGGCCTTCTACACCAGGCAGAACATAATTTCTCCTGGGAACGCTCTTTCTATTTCCTGCTTTTGAGGGAAACTAAATAAGTCACGTTTGTCCTCATCTGAATTCATTTGACCCATTAAAACGATTCTGCTCTCCTGTGTTTCTGCTGCCACGCTGGAAAGTAGATCCTGCCACCCACAGAATGTAAATGAGTGACAGCCATGGTGGGCGTACTGTGCCCGATGCCTGGGAGGAGCAGATAGTGGCAGAGGTGATTTGACATGCAGGACCGGACGTGCTGACTAGGAGCGTCAATTAGTCTCAAAGAGGAAAGAATGGATAATTCAGCCTGTCATACGGTTCTCCTATTTACTAATTCACTCCTCTGTTACTTAACACACAATTAATCAATGACAGGAAGGTGTAGTCAGTGCTGTTCATCAGCAGCGAAACATGAGCCAGGGTGAATTAATACAGTCACTGTGGGGGATTACAACTTACCGTGCTCTCTCTCTCTCTTTCTAAAACAAAAAGGAATTGCCACTGAGACAGGAGCAATTTAAAACGACAACACTGAGTAATGACTCAATTTGCCGCACGGTCTAAACACCACAAGCAAATGGCATTACTAAATCATTGGAGTGTATCTGGATCTCTGGTTAGAAATCACTGGCTAAAACCCCTGGCTCTTGGAATCTATGAGTCACACTTAAACAGTAACTACCTGGATGTTATAAATGGGGAAGCAGTTGAGGCCACGAAGCAGCTAACAACAGAATCTCGGAGGCAGACGGTGGTAAAATAAACACTATAAACTCTATTTGACACCCATTGTTAAAATTTCAACATGTACACAACCAAAGTTGAGGAGACCTCCTTTGTTCAGAGCTGCTAAAGGATGAAAGAAAAGGCTGCTGGGTCAGGGTGATGGATTTAACTTAGAATTCTGCTACAACTCTTGTCAAATGTTGCTATTAAATTAACGGTTAAAGGTCCTGTAATTCAAATTTTACGTGATTCTCGACCTAAGGTTTTTCGTGGTTTGGTTGCCATATCTCATAACTGACTTGAGAAATACGACTTCCATCGTTCCGACATCATGTGGTATAAGAACAAATTTAGCAAGGGAACTGGGTCTGCCAGTGGCGTGGACGAATATGTTGTCAAACATCACTATACATGGAAGACGCCTTTGTTTACATTCAAACTTCTTGCCCTTCGTTATGGCTCCCAAGTGCATCCTCCCTCTTCTGATGTTTCTATGTCCCAGATTACCATGTTACAAACGTAGGAGTGGATTGGATGAATGAAATACTCATTCATCTTAGAGTTTTGCCCTTTTTTAAAAACAAAAACAAAGTAATAAACCACACAGTAGTTTGTTTTTATACTGAGCCTGTACACTGCCTGAGATCAAATATTCATGCACTGACATTGAAAAATACCCTGTATCCTGCAACACGGAAGATGATGGAAGGTTCCACAGTAACACACTTGCCACTGAACCACAAAAACACACATCTTCACTGGCTGTGAAAACACTGCAAGTGGTGATGATATGACGTCTTTCTGTTCAATATGTAGGTGTTCTTTTCTTTGTGTATTTGTAGATCAGGAGTCGATCTTAATTTTAAAAACATGCAAAAGTTGTTTGAATTCACATGGATTAAAACGAGACTGAATACACTTTACAGAAGCAAATAATTATCCTGCGTCAGTTTCCAATGCGCACCTTTTTAATAGGCACACCTTTCGTTAACAGGAAGTAGTACAGTAATTATGTTGAAAGGAAAATAATTGATTGGAGCTGAACATCTGAGTACGATAACAAAAGTGTTGGCCTCAATGTTAGTGGCACACGATTTATTTTACTGCATGACTAAAAAGAGATGTTTGAATTAATACCAGGAAATATACTGTTGAAATATGACACTGCATTGATTATAAAGGAAATCTCACCCTGTCTTCATTAACGAGAAAAAAAAAACTTGTCCTTACCTTGTTGTCTTGGTCACTCTCTGTGTCACACTGCAAAGAAAAACAAATCTGAAATTAGAACCAAAACATCTGATGATTCAAATTATTATTTTTTCTAACTAATACAAGGGATTTAATTGACCTTTTTTTTAAAAAAAAAAAAAACATTCTTCATTAATTATTACACATGCTTCATAACAGGAGAAAAAATATTGTTCTGTGAAACCCAGACAGAGCTGGAATCTTAAAACACCAGGCACCACCACAATAATAATTTCATGATAGGTGTTCCTGCTTCAGGCTAGGGATGGAGAAATGACAGGAGGAGGAAGGAACTTTCTAATAGAAGGAGGAAAAAATGGCGAGATTTCATTTTTTTTTCCAATTTCAATTTCAAGGTCCACTTAATTCTTTATCAACTAATTAGTGTAATGCTGGGTGACTGGCGGCCCTCAACACTGTGCATATGGCTGAGGTGCAGAGAAGCACTGCGGTTGGTAATAAAGAAGGCAATGGGGGACAGGGAGAGGGGCTGGGGTGCATGGCGTGTGAGGCGGGCGAGCAGGGAGGGGTAAGTAGGTGTCGATTAAAGTGTGGGGGGTAGAGGAAGGTGGTAAAATGACTGACAGCACAGCAAGTGAGTGACAGAAGGCCCAGGCATTTTTTCCCCTTCTTTCCCTTTTATTATCCTTCCACCTCTTTCTTTCTATTTTTGCTGACTGGGGCCCTGCAGAGCTCAAAGGTACTTGGCAGAGCTCGTTGTCGGTCGGCCTCTCAAGTTAGATGGTTAAAAAATGTGCCTTGCAAGCTCAGCAGGAGAATAGCATCCAATTTACAGGCCTGTCCCACATGGCCCCAGGGGCTGCCCGCGGCACACTGCCATGATGGTCAGCTCCAGCAGCTCATAAATTATGCAGAGGCAATAAACGCACTGGGCAAACACTCCTCAGACGTTCTCCTGCTCTCCATTTCTCACTCTCCACCATCCACAACATTCAACTCCCCCCACCCTCTCCCCCCCTCACACACACACTTTTAATACAGAGATGTAGCAATCCTACTGACTGTCAGCTGGGGGACAAAATTAAGGGGAATGAAAGACAAGTGCTGATGGTGACAGCAGGTGAACGTCGATGACACATACAGCCGCACAATGTGTTCATTTATGGGGAAATGTGAATAATATGAGCGCTTGTGTTACAGTGTGTTGTCTTGTGTTTGCCCCCCCCTCTCCCCCCCCCCCCCCCCCGTACACCTCCCCAACCCACGTATGACTCACTAATGTAGCAGCAGACATAACAGTAGTGCTCCTGACTGCTTTCTTGGAGGAACGCAAGCATAAGCTCAATAACTCGTTCCTCTGCGTTCACACATCATGTTCTCAGAAAAGGCAAAGGCTTCAAATAATGGACATCCTTTTAGTTTTTCCACTGTGTTGTGATCCATAAAACCGCCGGCAGCCCTTTCTGTCTCACATTCCCTTGTTCCCCTCTCTCTCTTTTATCCCCTGCTCCCTGACTGTGCAGGCAATTGCTTTGATTGCTAAGATAGAAGCTGGCTGGAATGACTTGCCCTCGCTCGTGAAGCAAATGGAACATGCTAATGGAACTCATCGTATTACCCGATGCAAAAGTGCCATAGCTCATTACTTTAAGATAAAAGGATATCATTGTAGACGGCGAGCAGAATTGACTTTCTGTGCTACGACTTGATGATGATTTAATCAACTGCTCTCTTTCACTTCTCATCCCCGCGCCTGTCGCTTTCACAGGTGCGGCTAAACAAAGCACTCACATGGTTGGCAGCGAAGAGAGGAGAAATACATGTCAAAAAAAATTACTTTTTTAACCCAGATATAAAGGTATGCAAATTTTCAAGAGTGACAAAGGGTGGAAAAAAGGGGAGAGCTTGATAAAACGGAGATAGTTTCATAATGAGCAAAGTAAAAAATCCTGAGATCAAGCGTGACAGGCAGGGGGCGGCCAATCTGGTTGTCTTTACAGTGGAGAGACCAAAGCTCGCTTGAAATCACTGCTGAAGTACAGGGTGAAAGTTAACACAAAATAATAATACCTCTGTAGATAAGAAAACACATCCCAGGCGCACAAACAAGTCAGAGCTGTCACTCACTGATGTGTTATCACAGTGAACCACAGTAACACACCTCATGCATAAAGCAACCTAAGGCAGGGCACAGAAATCTCTTGATATTTGTATATTTTATTTTGCTCGATGTATTTCTTCTGACTGATTATGATGTCAGAAACTGATACAAACTGGAGCAAAAATGTCATCTACACTTACCTGTTTATGATAACCTTGTTCGGTAGAGTTTTTTTTTTATATTTCTTTTTTTAAATTGTTCATATAAATAGAAGAATTATATAAAATGCAATTCATTTTTGTTAGAGCTCAGTGGTTTCCAAAGTTGGGGTGTGGCCTCTCCTAGGAGGGTGGGACCTATTGAAGCAGGGCCGGTAAGGTAAAATTAATTTAAATTTTAATATTATCTTTAACTGTGCCACAATGGAAAATTTATTGAGTGAATTTTGTCTGAAATAATATAATATTCACTGAAGCAACTGCTGTGAATGTGTCAGCGTGTGTGGAGGGGCTTGTACTGCGGTTTGACCCCCAGACTTTTTGTATGAAGTTTACATGTTCCCTAGGCACTGAAGTTTTCTCCCGCAGAACAGAAGTCATGTTTTTAAGGTTAATGATCAGACTTAATTGAACCAACGTACATGTGTGAGCCCAAATGGTGGTAGTACTGTGATGAACTGGCCAACTGTCCAGGCTGTACTCTGTCCTCACAACAGGTCAGGTCCCACCATGACCTCACAGAGTTCATATGGGGACCTGTGTTAAGAGTAGAGGGACTCCCGAGACATTAAATATAATTTAAATACCCTCATTATTAACTACAGTACTGTTAGAAACGTCTGTATAAACTCATGTCAAATCAGTGTCACTTATGATAAAAAATGACAGTGAGTCCAGGGATAAAGGACCTGAGGAGCTACGGGACACTGTCAAGGCCATTAATGTTAACTCATGCTGTATGTCAGAGGTTAGAATTACAAACCAAAGCGAATGTGTTTAACTGAAAAAGAGAGAGGAAAAAATACAATGGTGCTATTGAAATCAATGTAGCGGGCTTCCTGACATGCTGAGGGAGGAAATTGGTCTTATTTACAGTCACGTACAGTAAGGAAACCATTAGTCTTGGGCGGCGGCTGAAAAAGAAAAGTGATACTCTTCACAGGCTGCCGCTTTCTATGCAGTGCCAGCCTTAAACTGCGCAGCTCAACCCTAGTGTTTTGTTTAAGTAACACAGGAATGTCAAACATTAGCTTCAGCTTTAAGAGCTGTTGATGTTGGCCTGTATCCGGAGCACTTCTGAGTGCCCCCCTGCTCTTAACCGGGCCTCTCTTTTGGCTAAGTGCTCTTACAAATTTTCCTGTCCAAGCAACAAGGCTTTTGTTTACATTGGTCTGAAAGTAGGAGTAAATTATTCTTGTCCTAAATCCTCTCCAGCTGAGTGCAATACTGGCCCAGTACGAGAGTAACATAAATAGCGTTGGGCCGAATGCTAAATGATGCAGCTAGGCTTTTGTCTCCAGCGTCAGGAATCACCGCGTTCTCCTGCCAGAGCTTCCCAGAGAAAAATGACTATAACAAAGACCGCACCACATCACAAAAGGCTGCATGCGAGGAATGTGAACACGCCATGCTTTTTTCCAGCACAACTTACTAGAAATCTACCAACAAACAGACGAGTGTAAAAGACAGTTTCAAAGGTAAACATGATGGATGACGGTCAAATATATATATATATGATAGACGGATCTTTATAAATCCCTCAAAAGTTCCCTTCAGGAAAATCCTTTTTGTTTTTACACAGTAATGCTTTATGTTTCAAATGTATCAGTTCTGATGAGAGATCTATGTAGTGTACATTCCCTCCATCAGTCTGGATATGTCATGGCTGCATATGGTACCTCCCGTGAGTGACATTAGCCTAAGGTTACACTGGTTACTATTTATGACCTTAAAATTAATTATAGGAGATGGGAGAGTCATTAAAGCCCCCCCCCCCCCCCCCCCCCACACACACACACACACACACACAGAAGACGGTGTCTGTTTATCAGTCTGAGCCAGGCTGTCCTGGAGGATGGCTGAAGGGTTAAAACCCAGGAATGACGCCAACTCGCCTGCATACCTGTGAGCTGGAAAGACAGCTTGAAAGATGGCAGTCATCGCCAGGGTCATCCCTGACTGTGCCAATGTGATGTGCTGTCGTCAAGGGCTCCTATCTCCCTCTTCCTAACAGCTCCTTCCTTATATAGCTGCGGCATCCTGATGGCGTTCTGATGCAAAGAGTGGCAGGGCAAAATAGGTTTTTTCCCTCCTGCTGCATCCTCCTCCATCTGCTGCTGGGGCCTGGGTACCGCCAACCGCCTGCCTGTCACAGCGTGTGTGGAAATTAGCTGGGGAGGAGGTGCTCGCTTGTGCTAATTACATTTTAATCATTAGAAATGTGTTGGCAAATCAAGGCTTGATTGCCATCTTGGAACTGAGTGCTCCTCTCTGCAGGTTGGGATGGGGGAAGGAGGTTACGCGGCGACAATGTGGAAGAGACTAGACTTGCCAAGCTGGACGCCCCCCCCCTCCACAATGCCCTGATGTGGCAGCATGCCTGGCCTACCGCTGTGTAGTGGCTCTGCCACATGATTCATGGGGAAGGAGGAAGACCAGCATGGTGAAATGAGGATCCGTGCCATGCTTCTTTTTTTTTCCTTCTGAACACCCCCCACACCCACAGCTTCCATGTTCATCTCTCCTTCTCTAACTCCCTCTCTCCTTCTCACCCACACACTGCACAGTCTGCCAGTCCTGCCACTGCGAATCGTGAAATAACAAACAGAACTGGGAAGGAGACGACTGATGAGCACAGGGTTGGCTACACAGCACCTGCTTTGGCAAATAAAAAAAAAGTCACAGCAGTGGGCCCAGTCACAATACGCTCACAAATTAGATTCCTACAA